TGATCAATCCTACACACCTATAAATATTATTTGGTTACTGCCAACAAGCCTTGAAAAGGGAGAGCCAGGAATTTTGGCCAAGGGTGACATGTGCAGGCCTCCTCCTTCCCTTGCAGCAAGTTACCCAATAGGCAGCTTGGGCATGTGGTTAGGGCACCACCATGCTGGTTGCAGCATGAGCACTGCACAAGATGTTTACTGAAATAATGTGGTTCAAAAGTGTGTGTGTGTGTGTGTGTGTGTGTGTGTGTGTGGTTCTTGTGAAGAAAAATCAAAACTTTGTTGGACTTGTACATATTTTACAGCATAGTGTTTAAAAATTCCTTTAAGGGAGGGACAACTCTCTTCAGGGCTCAAAGTCTCTAATTCTGACTCTGCCTGCCAGCAGCAGCCCTGCACATCCTGGATGGACACACTCTACCCTCAGCCTTCCCAGGAGCAGAGACCCTCTGAGGCCAAGGGAGCAGAGAGCAGGAGCCTTCCCCCAAACCACCATTAAAACATCATACCTTGACTGGAAAAACAGCTTTTAAATGTGTGGCCTATGGACTTTGTTTAGCCAAAAGACAAAATTGCATTGTTTGGTTTTCATAAAAGTTTTGATGTGAAAATTTTCACATCAAAATACATTTTCTAATTTGTATTTTCCTTTAACAATGGAAGATCAGCACTGAACTCAAAATGCCATGTGGCAAAGATTGATGACCTGAATAGAAGGAAAGCACACTCAGATCTGGGCTGCTGGAGATCCAGCCACTCCCCTTCAGACTCACAGGGCAGCTTCATTCTTCAGGGAAACCTGCCTGGCCTCTATGGAGGGTATTTGTACTTGAGATCCTTTAAGGCTTTGATCCTCATTAAACCGCAGAATTTGTAGCAAAGGGAGCACACTATAGCTTTGAGAGACTATTTTCACTACCCTGTGAAAGGTAGTGACAGCTATTTTTCTATAGAAAATAGCAATAGCATGAGGGCTCCAGGTTCAGGGAATTGGGGAAGGTATAGATGGTTACTAACCACCGAAGGAGAGAAGAAGAAAGCCTGAGATTGGATGTAGAATGTACAGTCAGAGGGCAGAGAAAATAGCTCAATGGTAGAGTGCTTGCCTAGCATAAACAAAGGCTCTGGGATCAATACTAGCAACACACACACACATACACACACACATTCAGAATGTCACAGAAACCAGGTGCAATAGCCCAAACTTGTAATCTCAGCAACTGGGGAGGCTGAGGCAAGAGGATCACAAGTTTGAGGCCAGCCTCAGCAATTTAGCAAGACCCTAAGCAATTTAGTAAGACCCTGGGGATTTAGCTCAGTGGTGAAGTGCTCCTGGGTTCAATCCCCAATACAAAAATAAAAAAAGAATGTCACAGAAGGATTGTGCATTAGGAGTGTGCCTGCCTTGCTTGGTCTTCAAGGACCCTGCTACAGTTCCTCTCTCTTCCACCCTGGCTATACTGAATGATAGTATCCTGATTCAAAAGTTTAATTTTCAGGGCCCAAAATAATTTAGGTTTAATTGGCCTAGCCAACTGGCACAGGCCCACGATGCTAAGAAAATTGCGCATTGTGGTACAAACCTGTAATTCCTGCTATTTGGAAGGCCGAGGCAAAAGGATTACAAGTTTAAGGCTAGTCTGGATAATTTAGCAAGACCCTGGCTCATAATAAAAAATGTTAAAAATGAGCTAGGGTGTATGTCAATGGTAGATTGCCTCTGGGTTTAATCCCCAATACCATTAAAAAAAAGAAAGGAAGGAAGGAAATGGAAATGGAAGATGTTGGAGCACCTGGTTAACTTACAAAATTTTCTGCACTGTAAAATCACTGGGCACTTCAGGAAGCAGGCTTAGCCTGTACTGAGCATTTCCCACCCAGGAAGAATGTACAAGTGACCTGCAGCCCCACCAGGCCCCACGTTGCTCATTTTCTCATGTGGGTGCTCTTGCCCACAGGGAAGCCCTAGAGGATCATAGTCCATCTTGTCATTCTCTATGGCTACATCCTGAGTTAAAATACAAAGTTAACCTCAAGGTGAAACTTAATTCTTTGTCTTCTGCACTAAAAAGAAAAAAAGGCTTGGGAGAGTAAATTGGGGTACAGCAAGTGCTTAGCATGTACAAGGCCTCTGAGTTCAATCCCTGGCAACCTATACACACTCACAGAACCTCATAACATTAAAATTTGTTTATGTAAGGTTTTAACATTTTTAAAATGTTCAAGGTTAGTTAAAATGTTTGACAATGAAGAAAAATTCAAGCACTGTGAAGGGTCTATAAAGACCTTCCTAAACCAAAAGTCAGACCCTTTTGTTGTCTTCTTCCTTTTTATGTACAAAAAAAAAAAGAAGAAGAAAATTTAAAAAAGAAAGAAAGAAAAAGTGTGCTCATGGTTCTGATTTCCAAGCATATTCTTTTTCACCCAAGTTGTAATGTTTGTTGACTTAAACCATATTGAGCCATATATGAGGGGAGAAAACCTGTTGGTTCACATTATTCAAAACTGTCTCCCAGGGTTGCAGGAAAACAAAAGGTAGTTCCTTGGGAATCCCCACCTCATAAAGATTCAGCACCGCCCTAATTTTTAAAAAGGCATTGTGACAAATCAAGGAACACCTAGGTCTGACTCTTACCACTAGGTGTCACACTAAACAATCAGGAACAGACCACCATATCCTGAATGCTATCAGGAACATAAAACTATCAAAGGCGGTGCAAAGAAATTTATGCCTGAATTTTTATGACTGCAGTCCCAAATCCTCTTCTGGTGTACCTGTTGGTGGTGCTTTTAGAATTCAACATTGCTGTACATTTAAAAAAGATATCCCCAGATAGGGGGAACACCTACTCTTTCTTTTACAGTCTGAGTAGAAAGGATTTAGAGTATATTCCAAATTATAGTGTATTCGGTCTCATTTCATGATTAGTTTTTAAGTGTTAATTTTACAACTTCTTTGGCCAAGTGGTTAATATATTGGGGTAGAAATTAGATGAACTGCCATAGATGCCTGGGTAAATGTCCATGCATTTCAGTTTCTTTTTAGGAAAATGGGAATAATACCTATTTACAAGATTAGTTTTGAGAACTAATAATGTAATACGTAAAGTGTTGGAGTTCTTTCAAAAATTTATAGTATGATATTCCCAAAAGCCTTGGCCATCCTTCCAAAGAAGGATTAAATATGCATTTGTGAACAATACCTTTTTAAGCCACGGAAGACCTTAGGTAGAATTAAGTCCAATCTTATTTTAAACACAAGTATACCAAAAAAGAAAAAAAGTTAAAATGTTAACTGACATCTCCAACTAATATGCAGTTAATTAGAGCTACAACCTAGAATTAAGATCTCCTGTTTAGAGTCACTGTTTTACACTGCCTTTATAATTGTATACATACGCACCAGAAGCCTAAGAGACAACGGAGTCAATCCCAGGGAAGTTTTCCTTTGAACATATGATCATTACTACCTGGAAGTTTTTATTTCTTGATTTTACTTTTTTCCCTCCCCTCATAGTTTGTCTTTAACCCTATCAATTCTGTTTCTCTACATTAAAATATTGAGAGAGGGGGTGAAGATATAAAGAGAAGGGAAAGGCTGGTTAAGGTACAACCAGTCAAGGAAAAGATGACTGCAATTATCTACAGAAATATTTGCAGAACTACGGGGCATTTTTAAAAATATATATTTATTCTTTAGTTGTAGGTGGACACAATTCCTTTATTTAATATTTATGTGGTGCTGAGGATCGAACTCAGGACCTCACGCATGCTAGGTGAGCCCTTTTCCTCTGAGCCACAATCCCAACCCCAGAATCTTTTTTTTTTTAATGATACTGGGGATTGAACCCAGAGCCCCAAACGTGCTAAGCAAATGCTTTACCACTGAGATACATCCCCAACACCATTTGGGCAAATTTGGAAAAAATCCCAACCTGGGGGACTTTATTTTGGCTGGATCAATTCTATAAGAAGCTGATGAACTCAAACCACGCCTTGAGAGCAGGAGGTGGGGTTGGGGGCAGAAGCATCAGTTCTATTTCTCCAGATGAAATCAGAAGATAGTGAACCCAAACCCTTTATCTCTGGAGTGGGTACCCAATGCATGAATGTATCCTACAGCCGCCCTCCTGCGGAGAAGAGGAGCAAGTTGAAGGCAGCAAGAGATGTGGGGGCAATGTTAGGGCTGCCTTCAATCTCCTGCAGGATGCCTAGCAGTTATTTTCTTGTCCTTAAAGGCCAATCTTGGGTAAGGCACTAACCTAGTCCTCAGCTGGGCACCCAGAAGTAGGCTCAGGATCAATTCTCTGCAGCAGCACAGGTAAATCAGACAGTAGGAACTCAATAGTTATTGAGGTATCTGCAACTTCTATTACAAAGATTTTCACAACGTGTGTGTGTGTGTGTGTTAGGGATGAGGTAAAAGTCCCTGCACCATGAGATGAGCCTGATATTGGCAGAAACACTGACGCCTGCGACCTTTTAACAACCAGTATGTCTTTCCCAGCAGAAAGAAGTTTGGGGGAAGCAAATCCCTACACCTAGCCATCATTTCCACCCTTGCGTTTTCAAAAGATCTAAAAACGGAAAGGACCGCAGGTTGGCAAACCCCAAAGAGGAACCGTTCGCCCACCAAGTCTGAGTCCTTAGGATCTCTGCAGCCGACGACCCCAAATCAAAACGATCCTGGGAAACCCCAGGGAAAGAAGCTTTCTTGCAGAGGGACAGGGTTACTGAGTGCAAGCTGCAGGGAAGTACCTCGGGGGAGGGGGCTTGATCGGGAGGACTTTCCAGCCACTCAGCGCTCATGAAAAAGTTCCCAGTACATGACCCCAGTGGCTCATCGCAGGGAGTTTCTCTAATGAACCCCGGCTCGGGGCTTAGGCTTCTTAGCAGAGGACGAGGCCAGTTCTCTTTTTCTGGTCTGACTAGCTTGGAAATTCCCCGCGCCTGACCCCGCCCCGGAGAAATCCCCTGCCAGCGTTATAAGGGCGCCGCGGCGGCGCTGCCGAGCCCACAACAATCCGAACGTGCAGTTCTGCCTGCTAGCGACACTGCGAGGAAGGCAGCGCGCAGCCCACAGCCGAGCGCACCTGGGGACAGCGCCCGGAGCTCTCAGCGCGCCATGTTTCAGCCAGTGGAGCACGCTCAGGAGTGGGCCATGGAGGGCCCCCGGGATGGGCTGAAGAAGGAGCGGCTGCTGGATGACCGCCACGACAGCGGCCTGGACTCCATGAAGGACGAGGAGTACGAGCAGATGGTGAAGGAGCTGCGGGAGATCCGCCTCGAGCCGCAGGAGGCGCCGCATGGCACCGAGCCCTGGAAGCAGCAGCTCACTGAGGACGGAGACTCGTAAGTGTTGCGGGCCCGGATGGCGGGGGTCGGGCGGACGTGCGGAGCAGAGTGGGCGCGCGGGGCCTGCAGCTCAAGCCGCGGGCAGAGGGGCCTCTATTGCCTACGGGTTTTCTGCACCGTTGCGAACCCTTGCAAAACTGCAGAGCTGCGCGTGGGGAAAACGGGAGTTGGCTCGGGCTCCGAGGGCCCAAGGCTGGGCACCTCTGCTTCACAGCCGCCTTGCCACACACCCCCATCCCCCCGGCCCCGACCTCGCGGCCGGGGGCGGGGCGGCGGCAGGGACGCGAAGTCCCCAGTTGCATAAGGCGGCGGGCCGGGAGTTTCTGGGCCGCCGGCGGGCGCCGCGCGGCCTGGAGGGGAAGTACAGGGCGTTCCGGCCGGGCTGGAGGGCGGGGCGGTCTGGCCGGCGCCCGCCGCGGAGGGGGTGGGGCCCGGAAAGTCCCTGGGCGCCTGCCAGGAACACTCAGCTCATAATAACCTCTCGGAAAACACCGTGGCCTCGGCCTCCAGAAACCCCGACCTTGCGCAATCCCCCGCAGCCTGCGCTTCTTGGGCCCCACGCAGTGCACTCACCACCCCTGGGGGGTTTTCCCTCTCTTCCCCTCAGGTTCCTGCACTTGGCCATCATCCATGAAGAGAAGACACTGACCATGGAAGTGATTCGCCAGGTGAAGGGAGACCTAGCCTTCCTCAACTTCCAGAACAACCTGCAGCAGGTGGGCCCCTTACCCCGCCCTGTGCCCTCTCTGACCCCATGGTGGAGCTGGATATATAGTACCCTTGCCCCCAGATCATTTCTAAATTAACACTCCCTGGCCCATACTGCTGTGGCCTTTTTCATTCAAATCTGCCAGCTTCCTAGAGAGTGAAGAAAATTCCATTGGTTTGGTGAGGTCTTTATGACCTGCTGAGAACCTCTGGTATTTGCCTAACCCCCTGTACCTGTCTGGGAGGAGAAGCACCCACAACCAGGAGATGTCTGGGATTCAGGGAATCGAGTGAGTTATGGGTTTGTTTCCGTGGCTCATCCTTCTTTGTATCCTTTTCCATTTGTAGACTCCACTCCATTTGGCTGTGATCACCAACCAGCCAGAAATTGCTGAGGCACTTCTGGAAGCTGGCTGTGATCCTGAGCTCCGAGACTTTCGAGGAAATACCCCCCTACACCTTGCCTGTGAGCATGGCTTTCTGGCGAGCATAGGAGTCCTGACACAGGCCTGCAGCACACAGCACCTCCAGTCCATCCTGCAGGCCACCAATTACAATGGTATGTTTGACTGCCCCATCCAAGGGCAGTTGCCATGGAGAAGGGGTGGGTGGGCCAATTTAAGGAGTAGGGCAAGAGCTTAAATTTCCAGTATTTGAAAGGTTGAGGAAACACGCATTTGACATGCCTGTTTGATGTCCTTATAAAGTTCAATCAGAACCCAAATTCTGAGTTCTTAAATTTCATAAGATATAACCATTTGTCCCATAAAAGAACAGGGGTAAGGTTCTGCCTCATGTGTGAGGGTTGACAAATGACTATACTCTTTGCCTTTTGTTCTTCTAGGGCACACGTGTCTGCACTTGGCCTCTATTCATGGCTACTTGGGCATCGTGGAGTTTTTGGTGTCTTTGGGTGCTGATGTCAATGCTCAGGTGAGTGCTTCATAACCTACAGATGGAGTGAGTCAGGCTCCTCCTCAGTAACACTAAGCATACTCTTTTTGCAAGCAGAAATGCCAAACTCAGCTGTATATATCTCAAATTGCTCTTGGTTTCAGGAGCCCTGTAATGGCCGGACAGCCCTCCACCTCGCTGTAGACCTGCAGAATCCTGATCTGGTGTCCCTATTGTTGAAGTGTGGGGCAGATGTCAACAGAGTAACCTACCAAGGGTACTCCCCATACCAGCTCACCTGGGGCCGCCCGAGCACCCGGATACAGCAGCAGCTGGGCCAGCTCACCCTGGAAAACCTTCAGATGCTTCCTGAAAGCGAGGATGAGGAGAGCTATGACACAGAATCAGAGTTCACAGAGGATGAGGTTAGTTTCCATTAACATCTTCATCACTCTGCCCAAGATAATGAGGGCTATTTTCCTGTACCCTCCCAGGCCCTAGAGCTACTCTCTATTACAGGGCTCATCAGTTTCTCAAACTTGAACCTATTTAACCAGTATCCAAGAGTATGCCTTTTTTTGGTTTGTTTGTTTTGTTTTATTTTAATAGCTTATCCTTTCTCTTGATCCTGGGAATTGAACCCAGACCCTTGTGCATGTGAGGCACCTGCTCTATCACAGAGCTACACCCTAAGCAATAGTTTAGCTTTTTTTTTTAATGAAAGGAGCATTCAAGGAAAATTCCTTCAGCCTGTCAGTTTCATTATATTTGGGTTATGGAGAAGGGATTCCAAGAATACTTCAGTTATTTTCAGTAGCCTCCCTACAACACCCTTGGCCAAGTTCTGCAAGTTTAACATGTCTTTTTTCCTCTTGTTTTAGCTGCCTTACGATGACTGTGTGTTTGGAGGCCAGCGCCTGACATTATGAGTGGAAAATATTGAAAAGAACATGGACTTGTATATTTGTACAAAAGGAGAGTTTTATTTTTCTAAAAAAAGAAAAAAGGAAAAAAAAAATTCAAAGGGTGTACTTACCACCCACACTTCACACTGCCTGTCCCCAAACATTCTGTTGTGGTAGATCAGCCCTTATTTTGTTATTTTTGTGAACTTTTTTATGGGGAAGCAAGAAAGATTGGAATTCAAAGAAAACCTCTTTAAAACTTCACCTTTGTAGGGTTTATGGAGAAGGTTTTGATGAAAGAACTACATTTTATTTATTTTGCTGTTGATTGAATCACTGTTTATTTAGTGGCTGACCCCAGTTGTGTCCTGTCACATGTAATAACCAGGTGTTTGGTGGTGTGGGGTTAAAAGTCACTACCTATCAAGGTTTGTATTACCCTCCTGTAAATGGTGTACATAGTGTATTTTGTTGGTAATTATTTTGGTACTTCTAAGATGTATATTTATTAAATGGATTTTTACAAACAGTTATTCCTGATCATTGTCTTCAAGCTGTCAAGGGACTCCTCCATTCTGAGAGGAGGTAGAGGTGGAGGTAGAAAGCTGTGGGGGAACAGCCTGTTGTGGAACTCTTTCAGAGAGCAGCTTCTCACACTTATACCCATCCTCCCAGCAAAACTTTGCAGGCAGCCCCTGGGCCTGAGTGGGAGGGAGGCTGTCGCAAGCATGAAAGGAAATGCCAGTCTCAGGCTTAGGGTGGTGACAAGCTGTTCATCCTGTAGCTGAAAGGCTCTCCGTTGTCATTTTCTTTCATCCCCTTGATTTAAACTGTTGCAGAACCCTGCTTCCACTTCAGGAAATTATTTTGAATGAGAGGAATATGAATTCATATTTTATAGAACTGGGAAAAATCTCGTAATAGTGGAAGTTCCTAAGGACATGGACTTGGAAATGGGACTACACTGATATCTGTTAGCAGATGTTGTGAACATTGCAGAAGACAATCCATGTTAAAAACAGCAGAGTGCCAGGCATATAGGGCTAAAGAAAAATACAAGCTGTTGCACAACGTCCTGTATTTCACAGTGGAAGAAATTAGAATGGCCTGTCACCTTTTAGGAGAGGTAGATGGTTAATTTTTAATTTTTACCCTTGTTTTCAGGCACTTAAATATTTAAATATATTGCATCTCTGAAACTACCTATTTTGTTATTGGCTGTAGTACAAAAATACTACTGGCTTCATGAGTCACGTTTTGCAAGAAATCAGTAATTTGTGAAAGTTGAATTTAGATACTCTGTAATTAGCATTTTTTCACCCTTAGAATGTATTTCTTGCTTAAGTAGGAGAATAAAGCTTAGGACATTTTATAAAATGAAGAATGGTGTATAAACACAATTCATGTACTTCAGCTTATAGCTAAGAAAATATTATCCCTTCTTGATCCACAAATGATCTCAAATTCAAATAAATATGATCATCACCTCCCTCAGACCAAAAAAGGAGCCAACACTTGTTGAGGTCTTTCATATATAAAGAGCATTACTGCAGAGCTGGTCAAAGCCAGCTCTGTCCCATCTTAGCAGCCTCAGTCTATCTAGAGCCAAGTATTACCCATGTTGTGCACTGTGCTCATCCATGAAATTCCTTGTCCATTCCAGAGCACCTGAACATGGGTGTTAAATGCTTGAACACATAAATGTTAATTTAGGTTTAGCTCTCTCAGCTTGTAAGTGAAAAGGGTAAAGTGGGGGTGGGGGAAATATCCACATCCTCAAACTCAAAGAACGAAGATTGGAAATTGGCTTCCCATGGAATGATGCTCTTAGTGCACCCTACTCAGAATCAACTCTTCTTCTGACTGTAATGGTGGTGAATGTGTGTCAATTCATTCATACAGGTTCACTTTAGTTCTGTGCTAGAAACCTGGAAAAACAGAGCAAAGGATATTGCCCATCCCCCACCTCCTTAGGGGCCAGCTCTTTGAGTAGGGGCCTCACTCTCCATGGTCACCACAGGGAGTGTCCTCTTCTGACCCACTTGGGCCCACAGTCTTGCCTTTCTAGACTTCAGCTTATCTTCTCTTCAAGACCCCAACCCTCAGTTTGGGTTTTATCATCTGCATAAACTCCAACATAGCTGGGCCCGGTAAGAACTAAAGTCGGTCCTTAACTTTCCAGTTCTATTTTTCCATCTCCTTTTCTTCCCCTTCCTTTCCATTATTCTAGTTGTTTGGGTGGCTGGAGCCTAGAGTTTTAGTTTCCTAACAGAATATTTTTAGAATGGAAACATTCTAATTGGTAGAAAGTTTTGTTCACATTTCTAAGCAAACAAGAACAGAAGTTTTCAAAGAAAACAGTTTGGCAGACTGAAAGCCTTAGTTTACACACTTCGATTTTCTCCTGGAAGCTAAAGGTCCCATCAGGGCAGGTAGAAGTAAGGGAGTCTTGGGAAAGAGAGAAGTAAGAGGAGGAGGAAATAAATGTCACGTCAGCAATTTCCTTGAATTTAGTTCCTCGATTCCTTCTGCCTGCCTCATCTAGCAGGATAAATTTCCTTTATGGGTCGTGTGTACCAAATCCCCTTCCAGAGGAAAGGGATTTCTTTAAAGAGGCACAAACTATAGTCTGAGCAATCTGATTCTGAGGCCTGGAAATGCTGAAGGGGAATTTGCATTGAAATTTCAATAGCTACTGGAAGTGATTAAGTGGTGACAGTTAGAACTGAGTCAGTGAAACAGATTCTTCCTTTGTTCCCCTTTGCTCCAGATTTTTACTAACTTGCCCTAGGTGAAGCTGAAGTTTCATTTGGCAAGAAAGGTCAGAGTTCTGGAACTAGAGTCAGAAACCTGCCCAAGAAACCTTCCCCAACCTCTGGTCCCTGGACAAGAATATCCCAGGTTGTTTCTGAATCTTAAAGGAGCATTATAGAAACAGAAACTAGATATTATATGTGTGTTTCCCTCCTAGAGAAGTGAGATTCTCAGTCTCATTCATTCATTTGCATTATAAATAACCATTATTCTCCAGGCCCTCTGCCAGGAGCTGGAGACACAAAGATGAACAAGTCCTGGCCTTTGCCTCAAAGTGCTCCTTGCCCAGGTGCAGAGAAAGGCAACACATGTAAGACCCTATGGGGAGATGAAGCACAGAGCAAGACCTGAGCTCGAAGTGCAGGCATCCAAGGCACAGAAAGGTGGAGAATGGGAACGAAAGTTTATGCCCCAGCTAGCTATTTCCCTAGCAGTACTGTCTATTCTCTTATCCCATGCTCCAATCTACCAGTAGCACTTTTTTGTTAGGTGGCAGGAGATCAAGTTGTGTTCATAACAAAACTAAATTCCAGGCTGAGGACTAAACTGACCATCCACAGCAGGCTATGCTGCTTTTTGTTATTGTTGTTGTTCTTTTTAGATACACATGACAGTAGAGTATACTTTGACATATTCTACATGCATGTGTATATCTTATTCTTGTGGTTGAACATGATGTGGAGTTACACTGGTTGTGTATTCATATACAAACAAAGAAAAGTTATATCCCATTCATTCCACTCTTTCCTATTCCCGTCTCCCCCACTTCCCTTCATTCCCCTTTGTCTAATCCAATAAATTTCTATCCCCGCCCTTATTGTGTGTTAACATCTGCATATCAGACAGAACATTCAGCCTTTGTTTTTGGGGGATTGGCTTATTCCATGATAATCTCTAGTTCCATCCATTTACCAGCAAATGCCATAATTTCATTCTCATTTATGACTGAGTAATATTCCATTGTGTATATATACCACATTTTTTAATCCATTCATCTGTTGAAGAGCACCTAGGTTGGTTCCATAGCTTAGCTATTGTGAATTGAACAACTATAAACATTGATGTGGCTGCATCACTGTAGTATGCTGATTTTAAGTCCTTTGGGTATATACCAAGGAGTGGGATAACTGGGTCAAATGGTAGTTCCATTCCAAGTTTTCTGAGGAATCTCTATACTGCTTTACAGATTGGAAAGCACCAGAGTGTTTGCACCAATTTGTAGCCCCACCAGCCATGTAGGAGTGTACCTTTTCCCCACATCCTTGCCAACATTTATTGTTCCTTGTATTCTTGCTAATTGCCATTCTAACTAGAGTGAGATGGAATCTCAGTGTGGTTTTTAATTTGCATCTCTCTAATTGCTATAGATCTTGAATATTTTTTCATTACACTGCTTTTTTCTTGCCTACAGTAGTAAGACTTGAACATGATACATGCTGGGCAAGCACTTTACGGAGCTACAGACCTTACCATTTTGGTACAGTTGCACTATGTTGCCCAGGCTGGCCTCAAATTTGCAATCCTCCCACCTGAGCTGGGATTACAGGTGTTCACCACCAGGCACTGCCATACCATTTTTTTTTTTTACATCTGTGTGTGACCCTAGATTCTAGAGCCAAATCTGGAAGAAATCTGCCACCTGTCTTTGAGTTAATGACAAATGAGTGCGTGCCTTTATCCAGAGCTTCTCAAATTTAACATGCACTTGACTTGCTTAGATAACTTGTTGAAATGCAGGTTCTCATTCAATTGGTTGGGGCTGGCTTGAGATTCTGCATGTCTAATGTTTTCCCAGACAATGTACTTCTGGTTTAGGATCAGACTTGAATCTGAACTAGGCCTTAGATGCTGCTGTCTGCCACCCCTGGTGGTATCACTGCAAACTGGCCTAAGCACCTCTATAGCTGCTCATAGGGAAGATCTAGCATTGGGCAATGGGAGTTTTTTTAAAAGTAGGGGTGGATCCTGAGCACTGGCACTAAAATAGGGACCAAGGCCAACAAATCTGCCATCAAACCAGGTACATGCAATAAGGGAAGAGGCTGACACAATACAAGGTCAAAGGCATAATCATTGGGCTCCAGAAAAGGAACAAAAGTCATGTAGGAGCTGCTTTTGAAGAGGTAATTTGCCTACTAAGGAGATGAGGGCTCGGGATGTGGCTTAAATGGTAGCATGCTCGCCTGGCATGCGTGGGGCACTGGATTCGATCCTCAGCACCACATAAAAGAAAATAAAGAATTTGTGTCCACCTAAAACTAAAAAATAAATATTTTTTTTTAAAAAAGGAGATGAAAAGTTGGTTTTAAAATTGGGAGCCTGAGGCAGGAGGATAGAGAGTTCAAAGCCAGCCTCAGCAAAAGGGAGTCACTAAGCAATCCCTAGTAGCCAAAAAATAATTTAATTAAATAAAATGAGTTAATCTGTACCTTTGTATGGGCTGTTGTGGGTGCAGGTCACGACCTGACTAGACCTCAGAACTGGAAGGAATGGAGGGGCAGCGCTTCCCTCCCTGTGATAGTGTTCCTATGGCCCTTACTGAAATGTGAAAAGCCTGACAAACAGTAGACTAAAATGCATGAGGAAAAATCTTAAGTAATGAGGAGCTTCCCTTCGGTTGTTGCCATCATTTCATATATGTTTAAAATTTATTGAGTAGAGCCTATATGAAAAGACTTAGCTGTTTAATAGCAAGTTAAAATTTTTAATTGTCATCTTT